CATATAGCTATATAAGATATCTTATATAATTGAAATCTCGTTGCTTTATAAGATATCTGATATAGAATGAGATTTCGTGGCATTAAAGTCCAGAAACTAATTTCTCCCTCGAGAATCATTCGGAGCACATTCAGGATTGCATTGGGCGCAATGGCGGAGAGGGATGGTACGGATGCTGTATTTTCCCTAGGCCTAGCTCGCCTTGTCTCTCTTATAGCGGCCAAAGCAGAGGCTGCCATTTCCCGCACTCTTGAAGTGGGCTCAGACATAATGGCGGCGACAGGAACACGTGTTGTTATAACAAGCCTACTGTCCCTACGTAGATCCTCGAGATATTCCGGAGGGGGAGACTTCATTTTCGACATTTTGTTAAAATCTCGTTCCTATATAAGATATCTTATTTAGTAACGAGACTTTAATTATGTAAGATATCTTATATAGCTATACGAGATATCTTATATATTATTTAAGATATCTTATATAGAAAATTAAATGAGATATCTTATATACGATATAAGATATCTTATATAGGATATAAGATATCTTATATATCAAATAAGATATCTGATATATCATATAAGATATCTTATATAGCATCTCATTTAAGGGTCGAGTGTCCAGCGCGTGGCTAGCGCTTGGGTAACGCTTGCGTAACGCATGTGTAACGTCGGTCGAACGTCTGTCCAGCGTGTCGCCAACGTTTCTCAGCGTTCGTCAGCGTTCGCCGAGCGTTATTAACGCTCATGTAACGCTCTTTCAACGTCTTCCTAACGTCTATCAGCGTTCTGAACTTTTCCAGCGTCTGTGTAACGTCCATGTAACGTCCTTGTAACGCGCCTGTAGCCTACTGGTAGCGTTCAGGAGCGTTTGGCAGCCACTTGCCATATATAAGGGGCTTGCAGAGGCCATCGCCAGTCCTGCTGGAACTTTCACAGAGTGAAGACCTCAGAAGAATGACAGCCCCAACATTGCGACCAAGGAAGCCAAGACGCAGTGGAACCACATCAAACACTGGGTCAACTCCTCAGCTGAGGCAGTGGACTGGCAGGACAGGATGGTGTAGACCTGGACCCTAGTGTTGCAATGCAGAATGGACTTAATATAGACTTTTCTTTTTGGTAGACACAATATTTTGAAACTGAAATATTGTATGTGTAATTTACAATGACTTATTTGTAGATAACCGTAATAATAAATATAATATTGTCCATACGGTAAAAAATACTTATTTGTATTAAACATTGTTACAAAATAAAATATTGCCTGAATAATGTAAAAATACTTCTTTGTATAAAACTTTATTAGAAAGATTGCAAATAAAATATTGACTGTTTATTAAAAAAAAAAGAGAGAAGAATCAAAAACATATTAATAAATTGAAATGTATATTTCATGCAATCATGAATTACTACGTTTGCATGATGTACATACCAGTATTTGCCTACCAGAAATGTCGCCTGACGCTGAGGGAACGTTGGCTGAGCAATACCCAAACTTTACAAGAACGTTATAACAACGTTGACCTAGAAACTCAATTTGAAGAACGTCGACGTTCCCCGACGTTTCTCCAATTTTTCAAAACGCAAACAAACGTCCAACAAAACGCTATAGTGTGACAGGGCCTTTATATGCTCAAAGTAAGAATCAAGGTATTTTTAATAAAACCATAAGATGATGAGCATGATGAATATACGTTCATCGACAGATTGCTTTATAATGGAATCATGTCTATATGATTTATATACCAAT